TATAGATACAAAAATTATCAACAAAACCCCAGCACACCAAATCCAACAGTATATTAAAAAGATTGTATACCATGACCAAGTGGGATTTATCCTAGAAATGCAAGGGTGGTCAACATAAGAGAGTCAAATCACATACCACTTAAATAGAAAAAAAAAATCTCCACATGATCATCTCCGTTGAAACAAAAAAAGATATTTGATAAAACCTGATACCCTTTAAAAAAAACACTGATAAAATTAGGCACAGAAAGGAACTTCCTTACCATGATAATCAGCACTTATGAAAATCCCACAATTAATGTCAGATTCAATAGTAAAAGACTGAAAACTTTCACTGAGAAGATCAGAAACAAGACAAGCATGCCCGTTTTCAGCACTGTTATTCAAGTTAAGCCAGAGCAATTAGACCAGAAAAAGAAATACATGATAACCATATAGGAGGAAAGAAGATAAAGTATTTCTATTTGTGGATGAAATGATCCTATAGATAGAAATTTCAAAAGAATCCACAAAAAAGCTACTAGAGTGAATAAATAAGTTCAGCAAAGTTGCAGGTGACAAAATCAACACACACATATCAGTTATATTTCTATATACCAGCAATGAACAATCTGAAAAAGAAAGAAAACAATTCCATTTACAATAGCATATAAAAGAGTGAAATACCTAGGAATAAACTGAACCAAGGAGGTGAAAAACTTACATACCTAAAACTAAAAAATATTGCTAAAAGAAGTTAAAGACCAAAATAAATGGAATGGCATTATATGTTTATAGAATGGAAACTAAATATTGTAAAGATGGCAATACCCTCAAAGCAACCTATAGATTCAGTGAAAAATATCAATGTGAAAATTCCAAAGACTTTTTTGTTTAAGTGGAAAAGCTGACTCTAAAATTGACATGGAATGGAAAATGACTCAGAATAACAAAAGCAATCTTGAAGCAGAAGAACAAAGTTGGAGCATATACACTTAATGATTTCAAAACATGCTACAAAACTACTATAATCAAAATTCTGCAGTACTTGATGAAATACAGAGGTCCAGTTTCATTCTTCTGTTTCCTAGCACAGCTCAAAATAAATTATAAATCTAAATGTAACTATGAAACTACTAGAAAAAAAATAGGAGAAATACTTCAGGATATTGGTCTGGGCAAAGATTTTATGGATAAGACCTCAAAAGCACAGGCAAAATAGCAAAAATAGACAAATGGGATTATATCAAACTAAAAAGCTTTCACACAGCAAAAGAAACAATCAGAGAATGAAAAGACAATCTACAGAATGGGAGAAAATATTTGCAAACTGTTCATTCGACAAGGGATTAATATCCAGAATATATAGTCATGTATTGTTTAACCATGGGGATACATTCTGAGAAATGTGTCCCTAGGCATTTCCATCATTGTGAGACTATCATAGATTCAGATTTTCTTAAGCTCTTCTAAAAATAAAAGAGCAAAAAAGCTCTTCTACTTAGAAGAAGAAAAGTACTACTAACAAATACCTAGATCATATAGCCTACTACATACATAAGCTATGTAGTATAGCCTATTGCTCCTAGGCTGCAAACCTGTATAGAATGTTATTGTATTGAATAATACAGGCAATTGTAAGACAATGGTAAGTATTCATGTATCTAATCATATAAAAGGTACAGAAAAAATTTGGTATTATATTCTTATGGGACAACTGTCATACATGCAGTCCATTATGTACTGAAATGCTGTGTAGTACATGACTATACAAGAAACTCAAACAACTAAACAACAAAAACACAAATACTTCAATTTAAAAATTGGCAAATAATCAGAATAAGCATTTATCAAAAGAAGACATACAAATGGCCAAAAAGTATATGAAAAAACACTCAACATCACTAATCATCAGGGAAATGGAAATCAAAACCACAAAGAGATATCATCTCACCCCAGTTAGAATGGCTATTGTCAAAAAGACAAAAAGAAAAATGCTGGTAAGGATGCAGAGAAAATGGAACTCTTACACATTGTTGGTGGGAATGTAAATTAGTACAGCCACTATGTGAAACAGCATGGAGATTTCTCAATAAACTAAAAATAGAACTACCATATGATCCAGCAATCTTACTGCTGGGTATATATCAAAAAGAAAGGATATCAATATATCAAAGACATATCTGCACTCTCATGTTTATTGCAGCACTATTCACAATAGTCAAGATATGAAATCAGTATAAGTACCCATCAACAGATGCAGGGATTAAAAAATGTGTTCATCCATAAAAATGAAAGAAATCTTGTCATTGATGGAAACATGGATGAACCTGGAGGACACTATGTGAAATAAGCCAGGCACAGAAAGATAAATACCACATTATCATTCATATGTGGAAGCTAAAAAAGCTTATCTCACAGAAGTAGAGAGTAGAATAGTGGTTACTATTAGGCTGGCGCAAAAGTAATTGTGTTTTTTTTTTTCATTAAAAGTTAAGAGAAGATAGGGAAGGGAGTAGAGAGGGAAAGGTTGGTTAACAGACACAAAATTACGGCAAGATAGGAGGAATAAGTTCTAATATTCTATTGCACTGTAGGGTGACTATAGTTAAGAATAATGTATTGGGTATTTTCAAACAGCTAGAAAAGATTTCGAATGCTCCCAAAACAAAGAAATGATAAATGTTTGAGGTGATAGACACACTAACTACTCTGATGTTTAAAACTATACAACTTTTAGAAGAAAACATAGGGGTAAGTCTCTTGTGATCTTGAATTTGGCAATGAATTCTTACATATGACACCAAAAGCACCAGCAACAAAAGAAAAAAATAGATGAATTGAGCTTCTTTGAAATGAAAATCTTTTGCACATCAAAGCACATCGTTGAAAGTGAAAAAACCTACAGAACAGGAGAAAATATTTGCTAATCATATAGCTAATAAGGGGCATGTATGTATATACTTTAAAACTCCTACAATGCCAAAAAACACAATTAAAAATGGGCAAAGAACTTAAATATACATTACTCAAAAAATATATGCAAATGGCCAATAAGCATATAACAAGATGCTCAACATCCTAAGACTTTCAGGAAATGCAAATTAAAACCACAATGATATACCACTTTACACCTACTAAGATGGCTATTTTTAAAATAATGGAAAATAATAAGGATGTGGATAAATTGGAAACCTTGCATTTTGCTGATAGGAATGTAAAATGGTACAGGCACTGTGGAAAACAGCTTGGCAATTCCTCAAAAAGCTAAACATATTATACGACCCAGCAATTCCACAACTAGGTATATACCCAAAAGAATTTAAATCAGGGACTCAAACAAATACTTGTACTCCAATGTTCACTGCAGCAGTATTCATAACCGCCAAAAGATGGAAACAAGTGAAGTGTCCATCAACAGATGACACCTCATGAACAATGTAGGAGATGACTTTGCATCCCACAATTCCCATCCAAGTAGAGACCATCAACTTTGTGCTTTGATACAAACACATACACACCCACACTCACCCTTCTCTTTAGCTGATGTTGGAAAATTCCATAGCCATCAACTGATTAAGTGTGTGCTCCACATGGCATTTGAGACACAGAATTATTTCCAAAGGGTCTGGTCCAATTGTATTTTGATGATCTCCAACACTGAGAGTAGTACCCACAGCTGGTATTACAGGCTACAGGAATTCTGTGGATTAAAAAATGTTATAAAGAACTTCAAAAATCATCTAAATTGAAGTTTCACATTGCAAAAAAACTAGCTTCCTTGTTTCTCTTAATGCACAAGTGTAGCTAATTGTGCTTCATTTAAACTTTTAGAGGTACCACAATAGATTCACACCTGATCCTAGTAGAAATTAAACTAGGTATAGCTATTAAAAGTGGGGATCCATTACACCATATTGAGATTTTCTGGTTTAGAACTTCCCTAAAAGTTAGGAGTGGAAGGTCAACAGAAAGACCACCATTTATATACTTATCCTAATATTTACATTTCCCAATTCTGGGCAGTAAATTAACAGTAAAAGAGGCATGGGGTAGAAGATGCAGAGGTGACCCCAAAATCCTTAACTACACTCTGTCATTCGATTCCACAAACTCCTGCAGAGAAGCTAGCCTTTGTTAAGAATAAACAGGACAAGCTTAGTATAGACAACATAGCTTCAACTGTATAAACTATGCAAATAGATAGAATAGTGGGTTTTATGGGAATTAATTTCTTCCTAACTACATACTTCTAAAGGAATTTGGTATCCTGTGGCTATGTCATACATAGACCTGAGCTCTGACCAAAAAGAATCAGCACAAACAAGCGGGCTGCTACCAACTGTGGTACAAATCACCAAGTCCAAAGCATTGGCCCAAAAACAAAGGCAAGGAATCAACAGTTACCAGGATGAGATAGATGAGATTATCTATGAAGCAGTTTCAATGGGTAATCCCCAGAAACACTCTCTTCTGCGACCCAGGACTTCATGGGGAGAGAATCTCAGATGCAGCAGTAAATCTAATACCCCTGGATAGGGAGAGAGCTGTTGAGGGCACAGTGGGGCTGGGTCCCTTCAGAACCACACTTCCTGTGCAGCTGTCCATGGCTTATTGAACAGGGGTGAGAACCAGGAATCCTCTTGGGGTTAAACAGCTTCAAGGCATCCTGATGAGACATTTTATGTGAAAAGCTGAGCACAAGTTCTGGAACTGAGACTACAATGAAAGCATCTGTGTTCCCTTCCTCCTTACTCCCTTTCCCAGGTTGCCCAAATAGGGTTTCATTCCTTATTTGAAGCCCTATCAGTAGAAGCCTACAAGACAGCTAATAGTACAGTCCTGTCTTCTTGCATACAGTGATTCTACTCCTTGAACATGTAGAAACTAAATAATCTGTCAATGCGAACTTGTTTTGTTTGTGCCCTCCTACAGACACACAGGCAGTGTTCTTCACCATCTTTATGCTGTCTGTGCTTTATCCCCCCAGACTAGATTTCAACTGAAAAACTAGGACAATATTTTCATCAGTTTTAGCATGCAACTTTATTAACAACATGGAAATAAAATCTCAAAAGAATACACTTATATCAGTATAAAGCACAGAAGTATAGCTTAGGATGAATAGATTCATTATCAGGTCATGTTGCAGAAATACTAAAAATAATCTCAATTTATATTATATAGCACAATAAAAATCAGCACGTTTCAGGATCTCGAGATTAATTGGTATTCTCCCTCAATCAACACGGAAGACATAAGTATTGCATTTATAATTATAATGTGCATTGTTTTCATATTGCAACTCCAAAAAACTGTTTGAGGCTTTATAAAAACAGAGGGCTATTCAGAGTTTGAGTATTAATCGTATGACTTTATCTCGCACTTCAGGATCACTGTGCTCTGCTAAGTCTTGGAGTTTCTGACCAAACTGTTTTGCTTCCTGGAATATTGAAATAAGCTCAGATTTAGTGAACTTTTCTTTGGTAAATAGCTTTGCCTTTGTTTTGAACTGAAAATTTATATTCTCAAATATTTCAATAATATTAAGAATATTGGCCTTTGACTCATTCTTGTTAAAGGGTGCAACCAATGATGACAGTACTTTGGCACTGACCAATTCTCTTGTATTGGCTTGATTTTTAGACAAACACAAAAACACTTTTAAAACATAAAACTTGGTTTTGACACTTCCCTTGTTTAACAAGGTGAGGAAATCTGGAATATAACTGGTAATCACATAGTGATCTTCAAATTTTACACTCAAGTGCCCTAGTAATTTCAGTCCAGCCAGTTGTACAGGGGAGTTCAAGGGGCAAGAGACTATGTCTTTACAAACTTGGTGTATATATGACTCTTCTGCTTTTGGTTCTTCGGAAGGCTCAGAGCTGTCATCCACCATACTTAAAGCTCTAGGGTGTTCTTTAACATTGGGATTATTGACCAAGTTTTCAATCATAACAGTAATACCTACATCATGAATTATATCTTGTGTAAATGGATAAGCAGGACTGATGCCCATTATCATGGTAGCTATTTGATGAATGAAAGGATCCTTAGTTAACTTAAGGAGGGCAACAAGTTTATCAAACTCTTTAGGCTCCAAACTAAATGCATGTGATTTGCAGCGGCAGGATTTTGGATTGGGCCCATACTTTTCCCTTTGCTTAATCTGTTTTTTTATCTCAGCTAAGGTCTGGAAATAAGGCCCATGATAGGGTGGGATCTTGGTCAGAGGTCGAATCCCCAGAGGAGTTTCAATCAAGGTCTCAACCAGGGTCCAGTTTCCTTCAGGAGGCAAGGATTGCTCTCCTCCCTCAATTGGAACTAGGACAATATACCTGGCCCTTGACCATGCTATTGCCTTTTGTTTTATAGTAAGCATGGGTTTAGGTGTGGGTTTGGGCTTTTCCTGGATCTTAGGTAGGGGCTTATAAACTTGAGGAGAGGTCTCTTCTTCAGGCCAGAACCAGGACCCTACACTAGGTTCTTCTCCAGTCCAGAACCAGGAGCAGATATTTTCTTCATCCTCATCACTGGATTTCATCCCAATGCCAGTTTTGTCCCCAGCCTTGGCCTTGATGCTGGCCTCTTCCCTTCTGTCAGGTCTGGACCCAGTATTGGCCTTATCATGTGACTTGGTATAGGACCTGATATTCGCCTCACTGACAGCAACAACCTTGACTTCGGACTTGGTTACAGCACTGACCCTAGACATAGGCATGGCCTTTGACTTGGTTTGTGGTACTATACTATGTTCTGCCAGAGGTTTTGCCTTAGTCTCAACCACGACTCTAGTCTTAGTTGTATCTTCCATCCTGCTCTCTTCCCTTGTCACAGCCATAGTCACAGTGTAGGTCACCGTATGTGTCCTGGCCATTGCTCCATCACCAGCTTTGGCCTGGGTCACTGATTCTGTTTTCAGTTTTGCCTCAGCCACTGCCTTGGCCTGTGTTTCACCACTCACTCTAGCAGCAGCAGGACCACTGATTCCATCTTTCAGGCCAGCCTCAGCCTTTTCTCTAGCCCTTGCTTCTGTCCCAGAGCCAGCCATGTTCCAAGTTTAAGGCAAGGACAAGTTATATACCCTCAACCCTGTCTCAGCCTTGACTGAAGGTCTGTCCCGGTTGGTGTTTTCATACAAAGTCCAGTAGTCACTCTGTCCCCTTTCCAACTACAGGCTCTGCCAGTGATATAGAAAACATGCAGAGGAAGCTCACTCAAGGTAGGGAAGGATGGCTGTGCATGGGCGCAGCCCTGTGGAGGGTGGTGGTCTTCAGCCACTCCAAGGCCACCAGATCTGCCACTGAAGTAGGACCTAGGGGTGGAGGAAGGAAATGGGGCTTTGAGTCTCTTCCAATTTTTTCTCCTCATGCTGATCAGCACAAGGAAACAGGAGAGTATGGAGATTCAGTGCTAGGTGAGAGAGGTAGATAATTAGCAAACTCTCTCTCCCTTCATTTCACCCACTCCCTACGCTTCCAAGCACTATCAACCTTCTTTCCAGGCACCAAACAGGAGCACAAAGGAAAAGTGGATGAGAGCCTAAGGAATTCCTATAGTGGTTCTTGACCCCTGCTGGAGCCAAGCAGCTCTCCACTACTACATCCTACAGGTCTACCCAGGCAATCCCCACACTCATACCAACCTGCACTGATCTGGAGTAACTTTCTCCTCCTTACCTTGCTTCCAATGGTGACAAGCCCTACAGCAGATCTACAGGCAGACCTATGAACAAATAAACAAACAGGAGAATATGGAAACTGATCTCCTGGTGACAGACCTTGGTCCCTGGCCCCTATTCTTGCCTTTCCAGATACATTTTGTCTACTGTTTCCCTCCTAGTCCCCTTTCCCTGCACTGCTTTGTTTCAGAGCTACTCTTCCTTCTCCTCCCTATTGCCCACCATCTTCCTCTTTCTTCAGTGATTGCCCTGGAATGTCCTTCATTCAGATTAGACTAGGGTTAAGCATGAGAGCAGGACAATCAAGTGGGAAGTGGGAAAGGCAAGTCTTAGTATTCTGTACCCTCAAAGCTTACCAAGACTCCCAACTAAATCAGCAGCAGCAGAGGGTGGGGCAGATGGAAACAACTGGTAAAATGACAAAACAGAAGAGACGGAATTCTCTAGCTGAAGTTGCCACCCCGCCCCCCGTCCCTGTAGCTTTACACCAACCTTAACAGATACAGGGCAATTTTCTCTTCTTCGTAATTTCCTAGCTTTAAGTTGGGTGGCCATTTTACAAAACTTCACAACTGACAGTTCCACAGACCTGGAAACAGATCTACTTACAGGGATTCACAAAAACAGAGACCAATAAATGAAGACACAGGAGACAGATGAGGCTGAGTCTTTGGTAGAGACTAGCAACTAGGGCACAGATTCTTTCTGAATACAGGTACCTGATTTGCAAACATTTTCTGTCTCCCTTTTTTTCTCCCACTTCTAAATCTCCAAGCCCTCTACTCTATTCTCAAAGTCTGACAATTCCTATACAGAGACAACTCAAACATCCCTATAAGGCAGTAGTAGTGGTGTTTGTAGGGATGAAAGGACTAGACAAACCACGGAGGCTGGGAAAAAATGAAAAGTATTATTTCCATATTTCATCTGGGTTCCTATGTTTCCTTTCTCTCTCCCAAAGCCTAACGTTTTCTGCAACATAATGGGGGTAAATGAGGACATGTTACGAAAGCTGGCAGAGAGTTCTGGGGGCTCCCTTAGACTCCTGCCTACTCTAGTCTTAGCCATCTACCACCTCCAAGTGCTGCCTCCAAGTACTGCCCACTCTGTAAAAACCAGGCCAATTTTCTTTCCGTTCTCCCCTCCCCTTGAGGTCTGCTGCCCTCTACAGATCTTTACAGAAACGTGGAGTGCTGCAAACTTAGGAACAGATCTACACATAAAAACGCGTGATACACACCCAAAAAGCAAATGAAAAGACAGAGAGAGAGACGTGGTTATTAATGGTCAGACTAGTAACCAAGACATGAGACCCTTTTCGAATCCAGGGCCTTGATTATCAAACATTTACAACCTCTTTTTGTATTCTCTCCCTCTCAGGGCTCCCCAGACAACTGTTCTCGCCTATAGAAGTAGCCCCCTCTTCCTCTTATCTAGTCTGCCTTTTCCCGACTAGAGGCTGCAACGTTTTTCTTCCCAAACATGGTCATGAACCGAGTGTATGGAAATCAAGCTAGCAAAAGGCAGATCATTTTTTATTGTTGTGTGCCATTCACATTACTCGTCTCTCTCTCCTTCTCACCTCCCGCCTCCCATGACCAGGTCGCGTTTCCAGTGTTCACCTCCGATATCCACATCCACACCCCCAAGCGATGCCCACCTTCTCACTGACCTTCTTTGCTTGGATCAGAGGCAGTTTTCTTATTTCCTTGCCTCTAGGTGCTGTGTCACACAGCGGCAGGGACTGACACTCAGACACAAGGACTCCAGTCAATGGCGGCGGCTGTGTTTGGTGGTTGATCCGGCACCGGGGACTCAAGTCTAGATATCCGCTTTATCAGATTAAAGACTGTGATTGGCAAACGGTTGTCACTTTTCGGTATTCCTTTCTCCTTCCTGTTCCTAGGGCTCCTCGAGACCTCACGGGTAGTTAACATTTAACATCTACCTTTTCCTTCGCAGACAACGTTCTTCCACATCCGGGTTAACCTCATCGGCAGTGGGAGGAGCTAGAGCGTAGTTTACCCGGGTCCAGCTTGTGGAAGCGGAGTGACATCAGGGTTTGCCTAGCGCTGCGACTCTTTCTGTCGGAGAGCTCCCTGTCCTGTACTCCGTGGCCGTTTCAGGTATTGGAATGCGCAGGGGCGAGCTCCGGATATAGGGAAAACCGCGGTGGAATGAGAGAGGCAGACAAATACCAGAGTGTTTCGGTATTAGTTCCCCTTTTGCAGGAGCTCCCCCCACCAAGCCTACCATTCTTTTCTCAACTGAAATGCACACGGATTTCCGGCTGTGGCGTCAGGAAATCTCTTCTGGCCTGACAGGCGGAAGTGTTCCAGTCTTTAGAAGCTCATCTCTCCAAACACAGGGGCCCCACCGAAATGGGCGGTCTGGGGGTGGGGCCCAAGGTAGGAAAGTCTGCAAAGACAGTCAAGACTGAGATAGGACGATACATACTAATCGATTGCACAAACTTTGTGTCCCTTCGAGTCCCCCCTCCCAGGCCTTAATTTTCTTTTTCTTTTCTTTTTTTTTTTTTTTTTTTCAAGTTCTGTGATACATGTGCAGGATGTGAATGTTTGTTAAATAGGCAAACTGTGCCATGGTGGTGTGCTGCATCAATCAACTTATGACCTAGGTATTAAGTGTAGCATGCGCTGTTTTTCCTAATGCTCTCCCTCCACTCACCTCACCCTCTGACAGGGCCCCGTGTGTGTTGTTCCCCTCCTGTGTCCATGTGTTCTCACTGTTCAGCTTCCACTTATAAATGAGAACATGCAGTGTTTGGTTTACTGTTTCTGCATTAATTTGATGAGGACAGTGGCTTCCACCTTCATCCATTTCCCTACAAAAAATATGATCTCACTGTTTATTATGGCTGCATGGTATTTCACGGTGTATATGTACCACATTTTCTTTATCCATTCTATCATTGATGGGCGTTTGGGTTTATTCCACATCTTTGCTATTATGAATAGTGTGGCAATGAATATACATGTGCATGTGTCTTTATAATAGAATGGTTTATATTCCTTTGGGTATATACCCAGTAATGGGATTGCTGGGTCAAATGGTATTTCTGGTTCTAGATCTTTGAGGAATTGACACACCGTCTTCCACAATTGTTGAACTAATTTAAATTCCCACCAACAGTGTAGAAGCATTCCTATTTCTCCGCAACCTTGCCAACATCTCGTTTCTTCACTTTTTAATAATTGCGATTCTGACTAGTGTGAGATGGCATCTCATTGTGACTTTGATTTGCATTTCTCTAATGATCAATGATGTTGAGCTTTTTTCCAAGTGTTTGTTGGCCACATAAATGTCTTCTTTTGATAAGTGTCTGTTCATGTCCTTTGTTCACTTTTTAATGGGGTTGTTCGTTTTTTTCTTGTAAATTTAAGTTCCTTGTAGAGTCAGGATATTAGATCTTTGTCAGATAGATGGACTGCAAAAACTTTCTCCCACTCTGTAGGTTGCCTATTCACTCTAACGATAGTTTCTTTTGCTGTGCAGAAGCTCTTTAGTTTAATTAGATCCAATTTGTTAATTTTTGCTTTTGTTGCAATTGCTTTTGGCAATTTCATCATGAAATCTTTGTCTGTGCCTATGTCCTAAATGGTATTGCCTAAATTTTCTTCCAGGGTTTTTATAGTTTTGGGTTTTACATTTAAGTATTTAATCCATCATGAGTTAAATTTTGTATAAGGTGTAAGGAAGGGGTAGCATTTCAATTTTCTGCATATGGCTAGCCAGTTTTCCCAGCACCATTTATTAAACACGGCATCTTTCCCTATTGCTTGTTTCTGTCAGGTTTTTCAAAGATCAGATGGTTGTATATGTGAAGTCTTATTTATGAGTTCTCTATTCTGTTCGACTGGTCTATGTGTCTGTTTTTGTACCAGAACCATGCTGTTTTGGTTACTGTAGCCTTGTAGTATAGTTTGAAGTCAGGTAGTGTGATGCCTCCAGCTTTGTTCTTTTTACATAGGATTGCCTTGGCTATATGACCTCTTTTTTGCTTTCGTGTGAATTTGAAAATAGTTTCTTCTAATTCTGTGAAGAATGTCAATGGTAGTTTGATGGGAATAGGACTGAATCTATAAATTAGACAGTGTGACCATTTTCACGATATTGATACTTCCTATCCATGAGCATGGAATGTTTTTCTATCTGCTTGTTTCCTCTCTTATTTCCTTGAGCAATGGTTTGTAGTTCTTCTTGAAGAGGTCCTTCACTTCCCTTGTTAGCTGTATTCCTAGGTATTTTGTTATCTTTATGCCAATTGTGAATGGAGTTCATTCATGATATGGATCTCTGTTTGTCTGCTGTTGGTGTATAGGAATGTGTGTGACTTTGGCACGCTGACTTTGTATCCTGAGACTTTGCTGAAGTTGCTTATCAGCTTAAGGAGCTTTTGGGCTGAGACAATGGGGTTTTCTAGATACAAGATCATGTCATGTGCAAAGAAAGACAATTTGACTTCCTCTCTTCATATTTGAATATCCTTTATTTCTTTCTCTTGCCTGATTTCCCTGGGCAGAACTTCCAATACTATGTTGAATAGGAGTGATAAGAGAGGGCATCATTGTCTTGTGCTGGTTTTTGAGGGAAATGCTTCCAGCTTTTGCCCATTCATTGTGATATTGGCTGTAGGTGTATCATAAATGGCTCTTATTATTTTGAGATATGTTCCTTCTATACCTAGTTTATTTCTTTCTCTTGCCTGATTGCCCTGGTCAGAACTTCCAGTTAGACAGATTATCGAGACAGAAAATTAACAAGGATATTCAGGACTTGAACTCAACTCTGGATCAAGTGGATTTGACAGACATCTACCGAACTCTCTACCCCAAAACAGCAGAATATACAGTCTTCTCGGTGCCACGTGGCACTTGCTCTATAATTGATCACATAATTGGAAGTAAAACACTCCTCATCAAATGCAAAGGAACTGAAATCATAGCAGTCTTTCAGACCACAGCGTCATCAAATTAGAACTCAAGGTTAAGAAACTCACTCAAAACCGCAGAACTACGTGGAAATTGAATAACCTGCTCCTGAATGACTCCTGAGTAAATAATTAAATTAAGGCAGAAATCAGGAAGTTCTTTGAAATCAATGAGAACAAAGAGACAAAATCCCAGAATCTCTGGGATGCAGCTAAAGTACTGCTAAGAGGGAAATTTACAGCCCTTAATTTTCTACACAAAATGGGCAAGGTCCTGAAGAGGCCACTGGAAAGCTGATCCAGCCTCATTTGCGGATTAGTATCAAACATCCTTTCATCTTTTTTTCTGTTCCTCTCACCTGAGTCTTTTCACCCTTATTGCCCAGCATATGTCTTGCATTGAAATAGTCAAAGATAAAGTGGGATGGGGATATAGGGAAAGCAGAGAGATGGCATGAATACCAAACTACCCCAGTGTGTATGTGTTCCATTCCCACAGTATTTTCTCCACCTAAATAAATATGCAGGGCCTGGGCATAGGCTTGAGAAAAACAACTCTGTACTCATGGAAGAGGATTACACCAAAATACTTTGTACTGATTGTCCCACTGCCTCCCAGTTTTCTGGTCTCCTTTGAGGCCTTACCGACCACATTTCCTGCCCCAGAAGCCCAGTGGACTAGAAGGAACATCAGGACTGCAGGCTAGGGAAGAGAGGCGATTTCAGGCCAGACAGGCCCAGGGTACTAGGGTGGTCCTCCTGTGCGTTTCGTTCCCTGCTTCATGAAGCCAGGCAGGGGAGGAAGGTGCACCAAGTGAACTCTTGGGCAAGGGCTTTCATCAAGGCCTCACCACTGCCCCTCTTCTAAAAGAAGGTAGACCTAGACCTCTAAACCTAGGAAACTAATCACTGGTCTGCAGCAAACTCATTCTTTTTGCCACATTCCTTTTTCTCATTTCAAATGGTGGCTCACATTGGCATTGTACCATCCCCACAGTTGACCCCAAAAGAAGGCCTTTCCCTGTAAAGACCCACAGGAGGTCCTAACAGTCCTCCTTCTTTGATGGCACCAGGTAGGGATGGTCCTGGAACCTCTTCCACTTTTCTATCAGGAGAGGGGACTGCTATCTGTGCACTTCTTCAAGGTAGATCCCAGATCCCAGGTGCTCTCCTCAACTGCACCTTTCTCTCAGCCCTGCACCCTGCCTAATGAATGCATGTACTCTTTTCCTCTGAATAGATAAAATTTTTAACTCTCCCTTCTAAATGGTGGAGAGTTTGGCTTGTTAGACTGGAGGTTCCTTGAATGAAGGGCCTTTTTTTTTTCTGTCCTTGTTCAGAAGCGTATCTTCAGCACATAGTGAACAATATAATCAGTCAAGGGTTGAAAAAGGTGAGGGGCTACTGAGTCATGAGAATTCCCTGGTATCCTCTGTTTTTCTTCCAGATCAATGCTAATTCATAGGCATGTCTTTGTCTTTGCTGCCTGTAACCCCAGGGTTTAGCTCAGAGTCAGCCATACAGGAGTGGCTCTGATTTTAATGGAGGAAGGGAATAAAAATTTTTAAAAATATATTTTAGAAAGAAGCCTGGGATATCTTAATATCTCAGTAATGAATATTTTGGGGGATAAATTTAATTTTGATTCGATATTACTGATTTATTTTTGTTTTTCTGTCTTCTAAGTATGCATTATTAAGCTCTTTAATATATTAGCGTAGCTCTTTAATATATTAGTTATATTAGCTCTTTAATATATTAATATATTTAATTATATTAGCTCTTTAATATATTAATATTAAGCTCTTTAATATATTAGCAAACACCTATGAATTCATACACACCAATGAACAATGATCCAGTGGAACAATATGCTAGTATATGAACAGAGTCTTCACAAAAAAGACACATCAATATGTGTCTTTAAACATTTGAGAAAATGTTTAATCTCACTAATAATAGCAAATGCAAAATATAATTACAACGGTATATTATTTATCATCTATTGGATTAATGACAAAAATTTTGATAAATTTTAGTGGAGAAAGGGTTGGAAAACTGGCACTACTGCACAATGTTAGTGGAAATGCAAATTGCTACACCATCTATGATGGTTTTTTGGCAATTATCAGTGTACAAATGCACGTAGCCATAGACCAGCAATTGCAGTTTAAGAATCTATGCTGAAATTATATTTTCAGATTGCAAAATACTGTGTGTACAAGAATATTCACTGAAGATTTGTTTTAAACAATTAAAGATTGAAAAGAATCTAAATATTTATCAATCTAAATATTCATCAGGTTAAATAAATTATGGCATATCTTCATGCTGTAGTATATTATGTGATAGGTTCATTGATGATTGCCTTTTACTGTTTCATTGATGACT